AAAAGGTTTCCCATTTTATTATTACTATATCTATCCTCCGTTCGGCGTCCTTTTCCGCGAAGTAACAAAGGCGGCCCGGGAGTTTCATTCGGTATTCGATCGGACCCCGGCGTTTCGCTTGAAGCGCGTTCTTGGCGCCCTCGGGCGACCTGTGGATGCTCGATAAAGGAAAAGGAACCGGGCTATCGGCCGCCGGCCGCAGACTTTCCACGGGAGCAGCCGGGGCATGAGTTATGGCGTTCGGATGCATCGGGCTCGGGGTTACGAAGCGTTATCAATTGCCGCTAAGAAAATAAATCTCGGCGACCCCTGCGGCAGTTTTCGAGCTCGCGGAGGGTGAGACCCGCGAACAGCTCTCCCCGTTCGTCCCGCCGCGCGGGATCCTCCTCCTCCCCCCCGCGAGGGTAACGACGCGGAACTATTGCATTTTCGGGGGAGACCCTCCTCCGTGCCGCCGCCGCCGTCGCCGCTCACGGAATTCGTATGCGTTTTTCGACGCCGCTGTATATTGATGTTCGAGGCACGTGTCCCCGGGACAAGCGAGCGTGCGCCAACCAGACGCTCGCCATGATCCCGCGCGGCGAGGAGGAGGAACGGCCCTCGGGAGAGTCACGTACCGGGGTTACAACCGGGAATGGCTTTGACATTCTAAAATTGGAAGAAGCTTAGGAACGTCGGCCATCGGTTTGTCGCGGTATTCCTCGAAAATCCCGGCACCGGCACGCGCATCCTAAACGCGACGATGAAGCCGGAGATCTATGGCCGTTGACGGCCTTCCGGATCCTGCCCGCGCGATCACGCTGCGCAAATATGTATGCACTGTGTTCTACTTGCCGATTCGAACGCGTACGCGGCATCGTGCTTCTCGAGTTTTTAATCGAACCGCGCGTTTTCGTGGTACAGTTTTAATTGAGCAATAGTTTTATGTATTCGTTCTTTTAATTGGACTTTTAATTGTTCGATCGTGTTGTGTTCTGTTGGTTATTTATGGACTTTTAATTGATCGATTGTGTTATGTTCTATTGTTTATTTGGAGTTTTAATTGATCGATTGTGTTATATTCAGTTGATTATTTGGACTTCTAATTGATCAATTGTCTTATATTCAATTGTTTATATGGACTTTTAATTGATCAATTGTCTGATATTCAATTGTTTATATGGACTTTTTTTAATTAATCAATTGTCTTATATTTAATTGCTTATATGGACTTTTTTTAATTGATCAATTATGTTATATTCAATTGTTTATATAGACTTTTAATTGATCAATCGTGTTATACTTGGGCGGCTCGAAAGCCAATCAATGTAAGTCGATTAACCTTAAAATTCAGATAAATAAAGATCTTGCGAATTAACTGTAAAAAAATGCCGTGGTGCAAAGGTATTAATGCAAAGCACAGTTTTTATTCGAATTGAACGAAAAGGAAATTAATATCGTTATTTAAATATTCTATTTAATTTACTTCATTTTTATTACTTCCGTAATTCTTTTTACTTTATTTAATCGTTTCGTATTTATCTACGAAGAAATCGACTATATCGATTTATCGATCAAAAGATCTCCTACGATAAAGATACGTTTTACTCCGTAACTCATTTAAAAAAAAAGAAAATGGACTGAAAAAGTTCGACAATATCTTCTAAATCGTTCATTCAACGTTCTCAACGACCGCAGAAGAATTAGAAACTGCACGGAATCGGTTTAGCTAACAGCCTTTCACGCGAAAGTGTCTAAAAAAACAAAAAACAAAGCATAAACATTGTAGAAAAGACACAAAAATCCAGAGAACGACTAACAAAATTGAGAATTGCAAGGAGAACAAAAATTGCTTTTAATTTAGCTTTCATGGCTGGTCGACTCTACAAATTCTGCAGTTAAACCAAAAGAGGTGCAGCATTTTCGTCGGCAAAAGGTGTAATTGCCTCGATGCGGCGTTCTAGTTTGTCGCATCCGTAAAAACTGCAAGTAGAACAGAATTAGAGGCGGCGGCGGCGACGGGAGAGAATTAGAGGAGGGGTTGAAGCATCCGGGTGAAAATGAGCGACGCGTTATCCAAGGGTTGAAAGCCGGGTCGTGGCACTTACACGTGGTCGCGGCGGCCGCAGCTTGCCAGGATAGGAGCGAAATTAGTTAAAAATTAACCGACACGTAGTTGGCTCGAGTTAGAATCAATTTAGCCGAGGCCGGGTTGGCCGGCGCCGTGTTACGCGGGACGCGCCCCGCCCGCCGTCCACTCGCCGCGCCGGCAAATGGCAACAGTCGGGACGACGGGAACACAGTCGGACGCGGGGGCGCATCGCGATGAGAAAACTTTCAAGAATAATTTTCGTAAATTGATATCCGGGAACTTTCTCGATTTATGACGGGCCGTATATCGTTCTGTATTTACGGGTCGAGCGTTCCCTTAATCCCGCGAAGACCCGCCGAGCGGACCGGCTCGCGGCTCGCTGTTACATAATTCATAAAACGCGTTCGAATCTCGGTGAAACTTTGCATACAGGTAATTCAATCCCGATTTCATACGGACGGCGAAAGAGAAGAGAGGGAGTCGGAGAGGCTATTGCAGCGTGACGCAATCCTTTCTCTCCCCCTATCTCTCTCTCTTTCTCTCTGTTTCTTAGTTCCTCTCCGTGCCTTTTAATCGCTTCCCACGTAGCCTTTGTTGCCATCGTGTTCACTGTCCGTCTCTCGCGACCGACACGAAATTATTAGGTTGTTGCACACGAAGTCGTAGGCCTTTTTAATGGCACTATACATTATAGCCCGGACCTCGAATGAGTTTTATTGGTCGAAATAAGTCCCGGGAGAAAACCGGCGAGGAAACGCCGCGCCGCGCCGCGCCGCGATTATCCCGCAATTACTTCGGGAACGTTTATATTATTATTGCGAAACCCTGCCTGGACATAAATCTTCGCTCTTCTTTTTCTTTCTTTCTCTCTTTTTTTTATACGTCTCCGATTACCGATACACCGTCGCCGCGCGCAGATTCCAATCACGAGAACTTCGAATTAATTCTACCGTTTCGAATCCGCGATTTCAACTCCGGCTCCGGCGGCGTTTTAATTCGTTTCGTCGATCGCGCAACGCGTATGAAAAATGCGATCGGTCTTTTGCGAAACCGATCGCTTTACGACCGGACGCCTCTTTTACACTTTGAACCGGCGCCTTTATCGTCCGTTTCTTGCGCAACGATCGTCGTCGCACCGACGATTAACCCTCTTGGCCGCGCGGACGACGCGAGCACAGGTCGCGAGGAAATTGCGAAGTTTTATGTCTTGAATAATACTCGTAAATTTCGCACATTTTAGAATAATTCTGGAACGGCTTGTCGAAGCGAACTGCACCCGGTGAGATCGATGAAACGCGTACAGAATTGATCTTGAAGATAGACCGATGCAAATAAGTGGTTAAAGGCATTCGCGATAGTTCACGAACCCAAATAGTTCGATTCCTGAGGTGATTTGAAGCAACATTTTCCTTAGCGAAAATGCAATCCGCGGCTTTGTTTACGAGTTATTAACGAAAAACAGTGACCAATCAGAGGCGAGATCATTTGGCGCGAGATGGCCGAGCCAATGGGCGTAACTGGGCTTCCTGCGCTCGTTGGCTGGGCCGCCTCGTGTCAGCCGAGCTCGCCCCTCATTGGTCAATGTTTTTCGTTAATAATTCATTAACGACGCATCGGAGAAAGTTTTTGCAAAGGAAAAAGTTACTTCGAATAACCTCAGGAATCTCTAATTTAGCACCATAATTTTGGGACACCATGTGTACATGGTAGCACTTTTCAACGGTGGAAAGCCTACTTCCCAGTGTCAACGAAAGAGTTAAATTACACGACCGATGTCTTAAAATAAAATCTACACATACTAAATTATTAAAAGGCTAAATTATTGAAGTGAAATAAATGCGACGAAGTTACCAATAAATAAACTCGCCTCTAAATTATCTTAACAATAAATTCGATCAACGAGCAACACTTGCTTCCACCACCGAGAAAAATATCTAAATGATAATGATTCCAAATCCGTTTAAATATAAATAATCATCGCAGTACGGCGAAGTATCCGCCGCGATTCCCCGCCCCGCCGATCCATCCCAGTTCCCAAAAATATACGCGCCTCGGATCGGCGATCCAGCGGACGAAGAGGCCAATGTTCTCGGTTGCCGGAGAGCCGGTGCTTTACCGTTCTTGCTCGGGGACGCGTTAATGGCCACGATAATAACGATCCGAATCTTTATCGTCGCGCGGAATAACGCGCGGCAGTAAAACGATAAACCGGCCCCTGGAACGGGTCGCTCCCCCGGCGTAAATGGAGAGGAACCTTAAAACTTTGCTACGACGGGCCGTAATATTTAGCGAGGAGGAGGACGACGTCGACGACGACGAGGACGACGAGGACGAGAAGGACAGCGCGGGGCACCGTTTAAAAACGCGTCCCTCTTCCGTCGTGCTCCTCCGACGAAAAGCGGCACCGGGGCGGACGGGGGTCGGCGCGGCTGCGTGGCCGTCGGGTGCACGTCTCGGCCCCGTAAAAAGTAAATAAAAGTTGCCGCGTAAATTATTCATGAGCGGGGGTCGGCTGTCGGTCGGCGTCCGGTCGCGCGAGCGCGCAGCGAAGAGGGCACGCTTCTCGCGGACACGCGAAAATTACCGGCGCCATTTGTGCGCCGCCTTCTTAAGGTGGTGGCAGACGGTGGGATAGAGTCAGTCGCCGGATCGTATCTCGCCGAGCGCTGCTTAAAACGAGGAATTAACGCCTGCTGGTTACTCTAATCCCGCGCGAAGCGATAATCCTCGCGAGAGACGCGGCGACAAAGTTTCGAATTAGCGTCTGCCGGCGATCTCTCTTTCCTATTTCTCTCTCTCTTTCTCCCTCTCTCTTTCTTTCTCTTTTCCTCCTTCTCTAAATCTCTCGCGCCTTTCTCCCCGTCCTCCTATTAGAGCCTTTTCGCGAGAAAGAAACGCGTTGTAAAACGGAAACGTTTGATGTTGACAGCGAACCGGCAGATGGACGTCGCTCTCTACGTCGGCCTGACTGTCGCCTGCGTGGTAATCGGCGGCCTGGTCGCGTTCCTGGCGAAGTTCCTCAGGCGCAAAGGTCGGGACCATTCCCTTTACTCCATGGCCCGTAACGGTAAGCATCATACTGACGAGAAAAAGACACCCGGCTTCTCTCCCCGCCATCCCCGAACAAAGGTGCGAGAAGGTGACGGCGCGCGCGCGCACACGCCGGCTGTAATCGCGGCAAATTCTCCCCAAGTTTCCTTCAGCCTGTGGGGCACAAGTGTGGGCGTTACTGCGGACGCCCCAAATACTGCGCCTCAAATATTTTATAATAAAATCTAACATTTTAACATTTCACGTTGACAATTTATGAGAAGTAACAGCAATCGCAGTGTTAATTAATTTAAGTGACGAAAAAATGGCATTGTTTTGAGCTATTGAAAATTATTGAGAACGTAATTGGTTGAGAAGACTGTACAGGGTGCCCCGAAATTATGGCACTTCCGGGAAATGAGAGGTTCCTGAGGAGATTTGAAGTAACTTTTCCCTTTACAAAAATTTCCTCCGACGCATCGTTCACGAGTTATTAACAAAAAACCACTGACCAATGAGAGGCGAGCTCGCTTAGCGCTGGGCGGCCGAGGCAACGAGCGATCGAAGCTTCAGTGCCGCCTATTGGTTCGGCCGCGCAGCGCCAGGCGCGCTCGCCTTTCATTGGTCATGGTATTTCGTTAATAACTCGTTAACGGTGCCTCGGAGAAAATTTTTGTAAAGGAAAAAGTTGCTTCAAATCGCCTGAGGAACCCTTCACTTCCCGGAAATAACATAATTTCGGGACAACCTGTATATTGTAAATTCTCCCGGATTTTCCTTCAGCTTCTAAACGAAAATGGACAATTTGGGGAAAGGTGACACTGTTATTCGAGGCTTGCGGTTCATTTTTATAATTGCCGGTTGTCAACCATTATAAAAACGATTATAAAAAAGGGATACGTATTGTAAGGGAACAATCGTATCTCCTCTCCCCGAATTGTCCACTCTTGTCCACGATCAGAAGGTAAATTTGGGAGAATTTGCTCTCCCTAACTCTCGTTACACCTGCCTTCTTCCGTCGGGTTCGACGTTCTCGGACGGAGGTTATTCTCCCCGCGCGGCGTTCAGGCGTGTGCGAGCGCGTTGTTACCCATTCTCGGCCCTTTGCTCGCGGAGCACGATCGGAATGATATACCACTTCGAAGTTTGACTGATATTACGTGCTCGCCGCTTTCGTCCGACGATGGTCACGGAACGATCGTAAGAATAGAGCGGAGCATACGTCGCCGGTAATGGACGCCGGGTTAACGGTGACGTATCTGGAACGCGGCCGGACTGTTGCACAACCTTCCTGCGGAAACTTCGCGGCCGCTAATGGAGCAAATCGTGTTAGATCGAGCTTCGCCGGGCTAGTTAGCCGACGACGAGTCTATCCGGCGCGGCACTCTGTCGAACGCGGCTATCGATGGACGGGGGAAGCCGACGTTTTCTAGGATTCTACAGTAATGTCTCCCTTACTGACGCTCAGATTGTTCAGAAAAATGGACAATTTTGGAAGAGGAGATACTATTATTCGAGTCTTGCAGCTCGTTCTTATAATTATTGGCAAAATCGGCAACTATAAAAACGAGTTGCAAGGCTCGAATAATGGTATCTCCTCTTCCCAAATTGCCCATTTCTGTGGACAATCTGAAGGTCAGTAAGGGAGACATTACTGTACTCGGGAACGATTCGACGCGACGAAAGACATCCTAATCGGACGTCTGAGCAACGACGACGTCGTTGTCGTTCGAACGACTGACCAGAGGAGACAAGAAGCGAACGAAACGCCATCTTATCGTCGCGTCGAAATTGAAGATGCGTGACGTAGAAGTGTGAGGAAAAGATCATTCTTGGATATTTCGAAGACCTTCGTGAAAATTAACGAGCTTTTTTTTAAATTGAAGTACACAGAAAAAGAGTTCAAGTTTTACTGTTCCCAAAAGCAAGCATTTTTTGTGCAATTTGCTTCAGACTCGATGAAACACAGTTACGCAATTTCTAACAAATCGTGTGCGAATTTTCAACAATTTTCGATTCCGAACAATCGTCGATCGGTTGGACTAGAAAGTGACGCCCGAGCTTCGCGTCCTCCGCCAGTCAGTCAGCCCCGTTGTCGGCGCGCAGAGATAGTCAGGGCTTAAAGGGAATAGCAAATAGCACGTAAAGCAAAATGTGCTCGCGTACACAGAACGAACCGACGAAAGCGGCGAGCAGAGTCGCGTTGGAATCGGAATACTACCCCTGGCAGAAAATATTCGATCAGAATCACAGACACGTTTGTCGGAAGAGAGTTGTTTCCAGCGTTTATCGAGCAAGAAAAACCCTTCCCTTTTTTCTTAAAAATCTTGAAAGTTAAAGATGACGGTACATTGAATTGCAAAGATGACGTTCTCGTGCCATGGACGTCCCATTTTTTTTATTCCTCATCTCAGAGAATAAAGTATTGATTTTTACGTATTAATTTTTGCATTAACATTGACTTTATACGCGATTTTTACCGTTTTTTGCCCGATTTTTGCCTTTGGATTCAACGCACACGGGCCAATTTTCTAGCAACGAATCTGAAATCTGGAGTTGAGAAACTTTCGGGACGTTTCGGGACATTTTATCGGGTCGGGTCGCGAAAGTTCGCAAAGTTCGGCTACCCGTGATTCCGATACACCCTGGCCAATTCATATTTCAAGTGTCATGTCTCAGTTAACCCTTTGCACTCGAGACTAATTCAAAGAAAAGTTCCATTTTAATTCGAAAATAGAGAGACATTTGTTTCAATATACAGCATTTCCATTCGACGCGATTGTTTCTACTTGATAAATATGAAATATAAATTGCTCACAGAAAACTTCTCTATTACTTGACAATTTATCAAATATAGATAAATTTAACAATGCGAAAATTCTGTTGAAAATAGTGTAGCAATATTTATCGTCGCCTCAGAGTCGCCGCTCGAGTGCAAAGCGTTAGCAGCTATAGTCCTCGCGCGAGAAGAAGGCACGTTCTACGTTCCCCCTCTTGCTAGCTGCCGCTCGCTATTGGCCGCAAACGGCGGCAAGGATCGGCGGCGGCCAATGGTGGTCATCGGCAGTGGGGACAGCGGCGCTGCGCCGCGAGTAAGAGGGGGAATGCGAACGGAAAGGAGCTTGTTTCTCGCGCGAGGACTATAGCGGCACTCTACGATGCCACGCAAAAACGGCGTTTTGTAGTTCTTCGATTCCCCTCGCGGGTTCGGTAGCACCCTCCCTCGCCCACAAACCAAGCATATGTGCGATGTTGATGCGTCCTTGCGATCCGCGGTCGATCCTAAGCGATCAAAAGATCATTTTCCACACGGGGCCCGTGCGAACGATCGGAAAGATAAGACGGTTGAAACTCTTCGATCGAGTGGCTTCCGGCAGGGGTTGTAGTATCACGGCGGCGTCTGTCCGCAGCGCGCAGAGATACCCACGGGCCGTGGCTCGGCGGTGTGCGTTTCAGAATTCCAGCCGGAGTTCTTCCCGGACCAGGACAAGAAGCTGAGCTTGCAGCCGGACGTAACGGCGACGAGCGTGCCGGCCTGCTACGAGTATCCTTTCGACCCGAAGCTGTCGATGTCGAGATCCCTCTCCGAGCACCATTACGACGTGCCCCACCTCTCGATCGCGCCGCAACCGTCGCCCATGTCGCCCACGCCGAGCACCTCGACCCAGGAGTCATGCAGCGACAAGCAGATCCATTCCGACTGCGAGAACAGCGTCACTAGCTCCTACCCGTCCTCGGACTCGACCTACAACGTCGCCTCGGAGAGCGTCCGTCTGCCGAAGCTCGAGACCGGAAACGTCGCGGGGGCGGCGGTGAACACGCGCGGCGCCCTCCTCGTGCTTCCGGACGCCGGCATATCGATGTCCGTGCCCGAGGGAGCGGTGCCCAAGCCACTCAGGGAGGAACTCTACCTGGCGGTGCTCAACGAGGATCGCTTTAGGCCTCGATTACCCGGTAAGTGATGCGTGCATTATTAATTGCGCCCGGTGCGTATGACGGTTACCCGTTACGCTACGATGACCGGCTATCGATCCGATTCAATCAACGGCCGCATCGCATCGCGCCGCATCGCGTCGCGTCGCATCGCGTCACGCCGCATCGCAGAAAGCCGCGGCGCCGCGCAGTGCTTGATCCGGCCGAGCGAAGATCCACGGTCGAAAATCAATTCTGTTATTTTCATAGTTTCAACGATTGCTTTTTCAAATGGGTTTGCATACAATTTTTCAGAACTTTAAAATCGAAATTCTAGCACTTTTGTAATAAGTAGAGTGCGGATTTTATTTATTTGTTTGTTTTATTTTTATAGTTTATAAATTGGGTGGTTGGAATTTCGAATGGGAGATTAAAAGAATTCTGAAATGTCAGTGTCTTATTTTTAATCTATTAAAGTGGTGAAGGTTATAATTAACTTGCTATTTAATTTCTACTTCTCGCAGTCGACGCAGACAGTTTTCATTTTGCATAAAAATCCGCGGTCTGGTAATTAGATGTAACGTTACGAAGACCAGCTAATGAAAATGTCTTTCTTGAATTAACAAATTTTTTGCGGATCACAGTTCAGCATTTGTTATACATATAGTGCAATTATATAATATTATATATTATACAATTATATAACAGTATATATATTATACAGTTATATAACATTATATATAGTATACAATTATATAACATTATATTATATTATACAATTGTATAATAATTGCCACGCCACGCCATATATTGTTTAATAATTATATAATAAAATTGTTTTATAAGAATGGCAAGATTAGATTTTCTTTAAACTTCGTGCGATTTCTATGATTATAGATATGTGTTTAGACAGAAATTTCTCTCAGAGACATTTTTAGAATATCAGAAACTATAAAAGAAAAGATCTGGAACCATTTTGACCATCATTTTGACCGGTTTGGTAATTCTAGCGTTAACAGACATTTATTTTATTATTAAATGAACTTATGACTTGAACGTAATAAAATAGTATCTTTAAATTGCTCAAATGGCCAAAAATGGCAAAAAATTGCCAAAAATGATCAAAAACCCGCCAAAAATGGCCAAAAATGACCACTGTTTCGAATATCATCCATTCACTTTTAATGCCTAAAACGCATAAATGCATAATGCACAAACGCATAATAAAATCCTTAGTTAAATTGTAACCTCGGACCTCGAAGCACCGCTAAAATAATTTTGGCCACGGATCGCTGCTTCGCTAGACCACCATCGTGCGTCAGGGACCGGGGCTAATGAATATTGACGGACCCCCGATCCGACACCCCGACGCTCGCGTTTTTCCCAATCCGTCGCGTCGAGGACCCTCCCTAAGGTGCTTCGGGTTTCACCGACACTTGACGTGTTCCCTTCCGCCGGTTTCGGTCTCTACACAGACAATCTCCTTGATCCACATTTCGGCCGGCATGATTGGTAGCTCCATCGATTGATAGCTGTCCACTGGTTCGGTACTTGGTCTCTGGGTCTCCAATGGCTCCGGAGTGGACAGCTGTTGCGGTCGTTAGCGTACTGCGGATCTTTATGCAGCGTTCCGGGTCAATCGACGGAAATCGGGTTGACGCGACGCTGTCGTCTGTCGTTGATAGACGCGCGAATCTTCCTGGAAAAGAAAAGAAAATTAGATGAAAATAAATGTTTTAATTTCTTTCAATCGTTTTTAAAACGGTAGATAGTTCACAGAATTGTCGGACGAAGCAGTTTATTTTTATCTCGCTCGTGTTTCTTGCAATCAAAAGAGGGAATGTTTTACTTTGCACGAAGATTCGCGGTTTAGTTGTCACAATTTGATATTTCAGTTGTATAGTTTTATCGTTGATGCGTAAAAATTCATGGTCTAGTATTCGTAAGTTGTGGAGGGTGTGATAGGTTTCTTTCTCTCGTGCATTTTTATAGTTTCGAACGTCGGGTGCTCGGTCTTGCCAAGAATTGAAGTCCAGTGAACGTCGAGCTAGAGTAGTTTCTCCCTAATTCGCGCTTAAATTGCACAGAAAAATGGACAATTTGGAAAGAGGAGATATGATTATTCGAGCCTCGCACTTGGTTTTTATAATTGCTGACAATCGGCGACTACAAAAATCCTCCTCCAAAATTGTCCTCTTTTGCTTGCAAGCTAATGGAAAATTAGGGAGAATTGATTGTACAGTAGTGTCTGTCTAATTGACGCACAGATTGCGCACAAAAATTGACAATTTGCGAACAGGAGACACGATTATTCGATCCTTGCATCTCGTTTTAATAATCGCTGACAATCGGCGACTATAAAAATGAGCCACAAGGTTTGAATGATCGCATCTCCTCCTCCCAAATTGTCCTCTTACAAGCTGATGGAAAATTAGGGAGAATTGACTCTCTAATTGACGCTCAGATTGCGCTCAAAAATGGACAATTTGTGAACAGGAGACACGATTATTCGAGCCTCGCACCTCGTTTTAATAATCGCCGACAATTGGCGACTATAAAAATGAGCCGCGAGGCTCAAATAATCGCGCCTCCTTCTCCTAAATTCTCCTCTTTTACTTACAAGCTGATGGAAAATTAGGGAGAATTGACTGTACAGGAATGTCTCTCTATTTCGCGCTCAGATTGCGCCCAAAAATGGACAATTTGCGAACAGGAGACACGATTATTCGAGCCTCGCACATCGTTTTAATAATAAAAAGTCAACATTTTGTCATTAAAACTAGGTGCGAGGCTCGACTAATTGCATCTCCTCCCAAATTCCCCTCTTTCGCTTACAAACTAAATCAAAATCAGCGAGAATTGTCTGCATTTCCCACACAAATCCCGCCAAACTCAATCAAAACCGACCGCGTTCCCCTAATCACAACCAGAAAACGAATCGACCTCGAATCTCGTTTGCCCGCAGACGGTATCACGCAGCTGTCCGCGGTGGTGACCTGTGGCCCGTCCTCGGCGACGTTCAACAAGCCGGTGATCCTGCAGTTCGAGCACTGCGCGATGCTGCACCCGGCCACGTGGGAGCTGAGCGTGTGGGCGTGCGACGGCCTGAGCGTGGAGGACGGTGTCGCGGTGGCGTCCTCGAAGGATCACCAGTCGATCACGTGGACCAGGGTGTTGACGTTGGGCAACGAGACGATCAACACGCCGTTGTTCACGCAGCTGGACCACGCGGAGGCGTTCATCGTGACGGAGCAGCTCCGCGGCTACGTTCTCGCCGGCCAGAGCTGCGAGAACTCGATCGCCACGAAGCGACTTCGATTGGCGTTGTTCGCGAGCCAGGCGGGCCAATGTTGCGTCAGGGTGTACGCGGTGGAGGACACGAAGGCGGCGATGAAGGCGATCGTGGACAGGGAGTCGCAGATCCGGGGCTACCTGCTGGACAAGCCGCGAACGTTGTTGTACCAGGACAACGGCGAGATCTTGTGCGTCAGCCTTGAGGAGGTGGGGAACGAGTGGCAGAGCAAGTCGCCCACGGAGAGGCAGGAGGTCTGGGTGAGAGACGTGTGGAACTGCCAGGAGAACACGAAGCACGTGACATTCGGGCTGGACGCCGCGTTCGGCCCGACCACCACCAGAAGCTACAAGCTCCAGGTCTCCCAGGGCAACTCGGACACCAGGCAGGTGTTCAGGATCGTCTACGACGGCGCGAAGCAATTGATCTCATCCGGAAGCGTGACCAGGCCGCTGCGGGAGGTGACCGTGGTCAGCAGCGGGCATGCTAACAACGCGACCACGGACTCCACCACCCTGAGACCGTTTCGGTTCACCAGGTCCCTGAGGAAGCAGCTCTGCCAGTGCCTGGACCCGCCGAACGCCCACGGCAACGACTGGAGAATGCTGGCGCAGAGGCTCCAGGTTGACAGGTTAGCAATCTTTCAGAGCTTTACAGAGAGGCGTGTTCGCCGGCGAACGGCTTGACTGACAGCGCCGTCCTCGGGGGACGCGCGCTCTGCCAGTTTCTTTGTCGAATGCTCCCGCTGACCGGTCGACGGTCTTTTAATAAAAGGATTTTCTATCGGAATCGGGACTCCGCCTAGCCGGTAGCTAGCTTCGTGTAGGATCGTTTCGCGCTGCGATCACGGACTCCGGGTGTTGTGTTGTTGTTCCCTGTAAACTGCCGGCTGACAGGTATATTCTTTGCGCCGCGCGGCGAACAGGGTAGTCATTTATCCTTCTTATATCACACGCGACGCCGGTTACAGTAGCCGGATACTTTGGTAATCGCTGGCAGGTGGCTGTTTCAGGCGCGGTCCCGCAGCTAGAACGGCGGCGAACACCGACGTGTGCAAATTACGCGTGTAACGTTCGCGCAAAGTAGCCGGCGATGATTTACGCCGATGCTCGCGGGCTGTACGTTTGGTCGAGTAGAGTGGGCGATTTTAGATTTCGATGTTTCTCATGGCAGTTCTTGGTAATGTTACGGTTGACGAACCTTGTTAGCACTTATAGGCACTCGGTTATTCGGGCCTGATGTGCCACGTCGCGTGAGACGTTGTTTGCGACCGATGAGGGTCGGAGAATATTTTCTAGCAGCTGCTTTGATTGCTGCCATTTAGTTTTTTTATGATGAAAAAGCTAGACAAAATTGACTGATCTTTTGTTACGTACTTAATCAAATTACGTGCTTGCAACTTCTGAGATCGGGTGTAAAGGTCCTGACGTCGTTAATATCTTGGTATTTGATCTCAAAAGGGTTGATAGTTGAAACGAGATTTTTTTTCTTTAAATAAGATCACCTCTTGAACGAGCACAAGAGTCCGGTTTGCGTTAACTGTTTCCATCGAGGTAGATAGAGTAAATTCTCTCCAATTGTCCCTCGGCTTGTGAACGAAAATGGACAATTCGGGAAGAGGAAACACGATTATTCGAGCCTCGTGGTTCAAGTTTTTATAGTCGTTGATAATCGGCGACTGTAAAAACGAGCTGCGAGGTTATATATATAATTATGTATAATTATTATTCTATTATTATTATTATTATTAATTTTATATATACATATAATTGCATATATAATCGTATCTCCTCCCATTATATTCTTCCTCCATATTATTCTATTATTTTATTATTATTATTATTATTATTATTATTATTATTATTATTATTATTATTATTATTATTATTATTATTATTATTATTATTATTATTATTATTATTATTATTATTATTATTATTATTATTATTATTATTATTATTATTATTATTATTATTATTATTATTATTATTATTATTATTATTATTATTATTATTATTATTATTATTATTATTATTATTATTATTATTATTATTATTATTATTATTATTATTATTATTATTATTATTATTATTATTATTATTATTATTATTATTATTATTATTATTATTATTATTATTATTATTATTATNATTATTATTATTATTATTAATTTTATATATACATATAATTGCATATATAATCGTATCTCCTCCCATTATATTCTTCCTCCATATTATTCTATTATTTTATTATTATTATTATTATTATTATTATTATTATTCTATTACTATTATTACTATATTATTATTTTATTATTATTATTATTAATTTTATATATACATACAATTACATATATAATCGTATCTCCCTCTCCTAAATTATCCATTTTTGTTCACAAGCTGAAGAACAATTGGGAGAATTTACCGTAGACAATCTTTCAGTTATTTTATTTTATTTATTTATTTTCGTTAATTCACCACAGACAGTTTTTCGGTTTCCCCGAAGCGTCGCGCAAGGGAATATTAGATTAATCTCCCCTAGAAAATCTTTTCCAAGGAAATGCTATCGATCTCGATGACGAAACGGGACGTTTTGGGTCCGATTGCAGGTACATCAACTACTTCGCGACGAAGTCCAGTCCGACTGAGCACATCCTGGACCTGTGGGAGGCGAAGCACCACGAGCCGACGGCGGTGACGGACCTGCTGAACCATTTGCGGGTAATGGGCCGAACGGACGCGGCGACGATCCTGGAGGCGCAGCTGGGCCCGTGGCTCTGAACGGTGGCCGGGGAACCGTGCCCTCGGGACAATTTCCAGTGGTGAGTGATAGCCGTGATAAGCAGGCCGCCGCGGCCCGGAACATTCACAGTGAATCAGTGGCTGAATAATCGGAGGGGGCGTCCAACGGTGAACAGCCCGCGGACGACCCGCGCGGGGGAGAGAGAAGGGGAGGGGGCGTCGTTGTCCTCTTATCCGTGGCGAACTCATCGAAAACACTGCCTTTTGGTCGCGCGCGGTTTCGTCGCGCGGCTCTTTGTACATAGTATACCCCGTTTGTAAGAAGAGAACGGAGAGCGAGCGAGAGAGAGAGAGAGAGAGAGAGAGAGAGAGAGAGCGAGAGGGAGACGGAGACTCGGCTCGAAAGCGTTCTCGAGGGCCGAGGATCGAACGAATCTCTGTAATAATCGTGAACGAGAAGTAAAACGAGAAATACAGTAATCCCTGATTGACGCTCGGATTGCGCACGAAAAATGGACAATTCGGGAAGAGGGATCACGATTATTCGAGCCTCGCACCTCGTTTCAATAATCGCTGACAATCGACGACTATAAAAATGAGCCGCGAGGCTCGAATAATCGCATCTCCTCCTCCAAAATTGTCCTCTTTTGCTAACAAGCTGATGGAAAATTAGGGAGAATTGACTGTACAATAACTGTCTCTCTAATTGACGCTCGGATTGCGCACGAAAAATGGACAATTCGGGAAGAGGAGACACGATTATTCGAGCCTCGCGGCTCGTTTTTATATTTCTCAACGATTCGTAACTATGAAAACGAGAACCGCGAGGCTCGAATAATCATCGCGTCTCCTATTCTCAAATTGTCCATTTTTCTGGACAATCCGAGCGTCTCAATTAGAGGGACATTACAAAAAAAGGTCTAGAGACTGTGCGTCGCGTTTAGATGGATATATGTGTACATACGTACTAAGAAACCCGCGAGAAAAAAAGGAAACAGATGCGAATGGGCTTTTTCGGGCCCATCTCAACGGATGTTTATATATAAATAAAGAAAAGTATAGATAGGTAGTTAGGTAGAGGACATCGAGAGTAAGGAACGAGCGAAAGTGAAGAGAGAAAAAAAAGAAAGACAGAAGAGGATATCGGCATCGTTCCAGCACGATATAAAATAAACGAGCAAAAAAATGCTGATGGTAAATGGAACGCGTTTTATCGATTTGTTATATATATATATGTATATGTATATGGAAAACGGAACACGCACGAGCGGGACACACGTACATAGGAAGGACGGCGAGAGAGAGAGAGAGAGAGAGAGAGAGAGAGAGAGAGAAATACACATACACATACACGTATACGTACACGTACACACAGATATACACCGGTTTCCTGGAGGATGATCGTGCCAAAATTCCACAGCTCTCGGTTTTCGAAAGAACGAAAGAACGTTTTCCGTTGATGTTTCTATTCAGAGTTTGTTGAAAATGCCGTGTTTCTTTCGTGCACGTCGACAATACACTCCGCGCCGATACACGACACGATTTTTTTAGCGAAACGAGAACGAATAAAAGAAGTGGGTGAGAGAGAAAAAGAGAGAGAGAGAGAGAGAGAGCGAGAGAGAGAGGACGGATCGTGGGTGGAAAGCGAATCGCGCGCGGACGTTCGATCGCGTAGAACGACCCGCGAGAAATCCGATGATTTCAATCGACACAAGTTTATTTGGAAGATTGTATATTTGTTACTTTCGACGAATAAAATATTCTTGTATACCTCGAGCGGTCGCTTAAACATTTCTCCTACCTCCGATCATCCAATTTTTATTCCCATTCGTCCGATTTCTTCTTCTTCTTCTTTCGGAAGAAAAAGCTTCGAGGTAAGTGATTCTTAAATATTGTTGATCTAGTTGGAAAAACTTGGAAATAAATAACTTAAGAAATACAAGATATTAATGTACCAGCGGTTGGAATCTCATTTCGGGGTACAACTTTCTTCGCGAATTCACTTTTTATTTATTAACAACCGCAAGAAAACGCGCGATCTTGACTATTCTATTGAAAGAAATTGCTTTCTTTTTATTTCGATGTATTCTTTTCCTTTTTCGTTCTTGACGAAACCGATACAGAATTAATTAACGTGCAAAAATAGTGATTACTTTTCTGGACGTAAAATGAACCATTTGGGGAGACTATGAATTCATTTGTACGCAAATAAATTATTTTCAAGGACCATGAGTGAATTTGTATGTAAAATAAACATTCCTACTTGTACATTTCTACATAAAGTACAAAATAAATTATTTATGAAGACCATGAATGAATTTGTCCTTAAAATAAAAATTCCTACTTGTACATTTCTACGTAAAGTGTAAAATATATTATTTGTAAGGACCACGAATGAATTTGTACAATTAAAAAATACAATTAAAAAAGTCATATTAGTACATTTCTACATAAAGTAAAAAATAAATTAATTACTAGGGCCATGAATGAATTTGTTCTTAAAATAAAAATTCCTACTTGTACATTTCTACGTAAAGTGCAAGATAAATTATTTGTAAGGACCACGAATGAATTTGTACAATTAAAAAATACAATTAAAAAAAGTCATATTCGTACATTTCTACATAAAGTATAAAATAAATTATTTACAAGAACCACGAATGAATTTGTTCTTGAAATAAAAATTCCTACTTATACATTTGTACGTAACGTGCAAAATAAATTATTTATAAGGACCACGAATGAATTTGCACATAAAATAAGAAAAAAGTCATATTTATACATTTCTACATAAAGTACAAAATAAATTATTTGCAAGGACCGCGAATGAATTTGCACATACAAGAAGAAAAAAGGTCATATTTCTACATTTCTACATAAAGTACAAAATAAATTATGTAAAAAGAACCGCGAACGAATTCGTACATAAAATAAATGGATCGCGCGAATCGCGAATTAATTTGTGCACGACGCCCACAATTTTTCTNAACTCGCCTCGTTGAGTCGGAGTTTTCCCTTCAATAAATGTTTTTTCTGTTTTTGGGGGGGGGGGGGGGGGGGGGAATTAATATTTATGGTACAGCGTTCACCGAAAAGGTCTCTCCGAGGTTTGTCGCAGGCGGATATCGTGTTTCGCCAGAACAAATTCGTCGTTGTTAATCCCTCGGACGGTTCGCCCGATATTCTCGGCCATCGATGACGAGGAAACCTCCCTTAAATATGAAACCATTAAGGGACGACGAGGTAACACGAGACACACGAGTGCCGTACGAAGAAGTAGGAATGTTGCTTTCTCAGGAAGAGAATGAGTCAGCATCGATCGCCGCGGACTCCCACGATTCTGGGAGTCCGGTATAATCGTCGCAAAAGTTCCACGGCCGGCGCCGGGGCCGCGGCCCGTCATTACCAGCGTTTTCGATTCCGTGATATCAGGTAACTGCTGAAACCCGCGATGCGTGCACTTAATACATCCACGGATTAGTTCGAAACGTTTTACCTGAACGCCGCCGACGTTCTCGGAAACCGGGGCGGGGGACGGAATCGCGTGAACCGCGCGACGAAAATTAAACGCGCGAAAGAAACCGTTTTAATAAACAATTCCGCTCGATTTTCGCTCCGTTGATAAGCCGCGGCTTTATCGTTCATTCTCGAAGGTACCATTTTTAAATCTCGCACTAAGCTTAGAACTTGCCTGTTAAAACGGAAATTCGTCCGTTTTATCTTTTTAGGTCCCCATTTTAGACCCATTTAGACCTATTATATCTTTTGGGTCCATTTTAGACCCATTTAGACCCATTTTATCTTTTGGATCCATTTTAGACCCATTTAGACCTATTTTATCTTTTAGATCTTGCACAATTCTTCAGTTTTGTGCTTTGAAATTGGTCCAGCTGTGTTAAAAGGTTCTAACTGCTCGCGTTCTGGCAAACAATTAAAAATCGTAGCTGTTCGGTTCGTTAAGAAAAAAGAGCAGAATCAAATGTCGTCAGAACGTCTGCATCTTGAGAGTTATATTTGCTTAAAATGAAAACGTTTTATACTAAAATACTTATAAAATTAATTATTTTTTAATTTCGTGTACAAGATAACGTATTTTATTTTATTTTTAAGATAGCGTAGACAGTAACGTGACCAATATTTCCCTGATATTTTAACATTAATTATCATTAATATTATCATTATCATTATCATTAATATTTATCATTATCATTAATATTTATCATTATCATTAATATTATCATTATCATTAATATTTATCATTATCATTAATATTTATCATTAATATTATCAATATCATCAATATTTATCATTAATATCATTATCATTATCATCAATATTTATCATTAATATCATTATCATTATCATCAATATTTATCATTAATATTATCATATTATCATCAATATGTATCATTAATATTATCATTATCATCAATATGTATCATTAATATTTATCATGAATATTATCTTTATCATATTATCATCAATATTTATCATTAATATTATCATTATCATTATCAATATCATTATCAATATTTATCATTAATATTATCATTATCATTAATATTATCACTATCATTATCATTAATATTTTGGGTCCACCAGGGTCGATAGTACGACTTAAAAAGAAACGCATAATTGCTTCCTCGAAACGCCTCTAATTAGATGCAAGCCGTAGACATTCCTAATTTCCCAGGGCAAGAAAATAAAATATGCGGCGGCTAATCGTTTCGTGGAACCGATTCGGATTAGCGTTTTCCGCGCACGGTTCCACGGAAGCTCGAGCCGGCCGCGCTTTCTCCGTGGATCACGCGACGCCTGGGATCGCACGAGAAGCGATTCCCCGCGATTTATCACGAAACACGGTCCGTCACGGTTATATTGTCTGTCACGGCGGCGCGCAACGAGCTCAGCCCCGGCCCGCAAATGCGTTTTATCGACGTATCGCCGATAATTCCCAGCGAAAGACTGTCCCCGTCGCCGCCTTCGGTTCCGCGGAGCAAATTGGTCCCAGGGACCGCGTGCGCGTCTCGATTCCGTTTCCACCGACGCCGACGAAGGAGGAGAGAATGAGCAGAGGATCTTCCTCGCTCCCGTCTTTATCTCCGCCGGTCTGAGAGGCCGCCGAGCATAAGAATATTCTTCGAGTTTTCTCGCGACGGGCGTCGAACGCGCCGCGTCCGCGAGGGAAGAGACGGACGACAATGGACGTCTCGAACGTTGCAATTTCGAAATGTCGATACCAGTCACGCGTGCACACCACTCCCGCGCCTTTTCTACGGCTGAGAGCGCCGCTTTAGCCGGGCTTTTTCACGACGTAACGCGCTTATCACGCCACTTCCCCCCCCCCTTCCGCCGCCACTTGCCGCGCGCGGGAATTGTCTCTGACTTATCGTGTCATCGTTCGAACGCCTTTAACGGGATCGCTTGTGATGGATGCGCTCGATTTATCTAAGGAACACGCGAAAATTATCTTCCGCATTTCTTCCACGAATTCTTCGGACAATGCGGCTTTGTAGCTCTCGATCGCTCAAGCGGTTTATCTTAACGCA